TCCCTAGCCATCATGGATATCATTCTACCTGAGGCCCTCACCAGAACCAAACAGATGCCAGTGCCATGCTCTTGCATTTCCTGAGTATTGAGCTATCTTTTCTTTACAAAGTATCCAGCCTTGGGTGTTTTGTTACAGCAACACAAAATGGGCTATGAGAAATGCAATGGTTTTAGGTAACCAGGTTGTGTCCTGAAAACAAAAAAAAAATTACAATTTTAAAAAAGTGCTTTATATTTCTTTCTGCATGAAAACTTCCCAACTCTTAAATATCTGTTCAATTAAATTTATTAAAAAAGAATAATGTGTGCAGAATATTAGTTTTCAAGTGGTTGCACATACATTACTTCATGTGGTGCTGAAAATTGAGCAAAGTGCCCAGAGAAGTTGCTATTAATCTGCGAAGTTATCTAAGCAACTTAGAATAACAGCATGTTGCAGGGAGAGCCGGAAGTGGAACTGAGATTTTTTTTTTCTAATTCCTGTGGAAATGAGTTGGTGCATGACTTTTTCCCCAGGCAAGCAGCACTTTTCCTTCTGCTCTAGCAGTAGTCAAAGCAACTGCCACCATGGCTTGGCCTTGAATTAGAATAGCAACAGAAAGCAGAACAAAGAATGGAGCTGATCTTAAAGAGAACTTTTCAGAGTGAAGTATCACACAACTTTCACTACATGGTCTATTTAACTGCTGACATCAGTAGTTCAGAGTTATCAGGATAGAAGAAGGAAAGGACAATGGAACTAAAGGGCACAGTGAATAAAATGCATAGAAGTAAGAAAGGATGGAGTTTCACGGGAAGAGTGCAGAAGTCTGCAGCTACAACAAAGGATGATGAATTTGAGGAGAACAACTGGAATCAGGCTGAGAAGCAGGTAGGCTAGGTGTCTGGAAACACTAGAAAGCCATTTAGAGAAGTTTGAATTTCACTTTGAAAAACTTCTTTGTCAAATAATATCCAAAGAAATTTTGAACTGTGTTGTACTTATATGATTTTTATTTCTTGTTGTAGTGTGAGTTTCAGTTCATTTTGTTAGATTAATGCACTTTGTGTGTAACTGGTCACATATGGTTTAGATTTGTTGTGCCTTTCATTGTAAGAATGGTCAGTGGAGATTAGGTCAAGCCCTTCCAGAACAGTTGAAATAATGGTGAATGCTGTGGTTATTAATTTTTATTTCATACAAGCAGGGTGAGTCCTTCTTCTAAGTGAAGTCCGCCCATTAGCACCTTTGCTTTGCAGTATTAGTGACAAGCAGTTTACGGCCAGCAAGGAACAAGGGTTATTTAAGGTAGATGATTCCTCAGGGAGAAATTAAATCAATTGAACAAGGCAAGAGAAAGGCACTAACTTTGCTGAGCCCTAACGATGTGGTTTACACTCTGCTAAGCACCTTATATATTACCTCCTTTAAGCCCTACAAGGACCCTGTCAAGTCTCTCCATTTTCCAGATGAGGTTCCTGAGACCAAAGAAAAATGTAGGATGCTTCTGAAATGTCAAAACAGAATTTTATTTGTTAATTCCATGACCATTAAATTACTGAAGAGTTGATCTTCTAAATTAGATTCAAAGAGAATACGTTACCTAGTTTAAGGGGTTTTCCTCCATTTAAGGGGCTACTGTTATATTTTCAAAGAATAATTTTATAATTGGATGAAAATAATTTGAATTTATGGACCCTGATGATGAAATTTTGCTGCATAGTTTTGGGAGCATATCAGTTTGGACTCATGCTCCCACTCTCAAAAGAGGTGGCTATCTCAGGTGGATGCATCCTGGTGAGGGATCCTAGTTGGGACAGGACCTCCGGTTGCTCTCCTATAAAAATGCCATGAACAGGTTTCAAAATTTAAGGTCTGATCCAAATGGCTCAACAGTCAGTGATGACAAACTCAGGAGATGGGCCTACTATTTTCGTATAAAATACAGTTAGTTAAATTCTGAAAAAGAACACTGTCAGAGAGAACATTCTGTTGGAGAACACTATAAGCAGCTCTGAGCAGGATTTAAAATTAACCAATTGGCTTTTTATGTTTACATGTGAGCTTGCCCAAGGCCTAGGAGCTTTGCTGGAGATGGGCAGGGGACTCATACTAAGTGAACCTCTATGAGTCATTGGTCCCCACTGAGGCCTGTATTGGCCTGTGAAGTTGGAATGCTTCAAAGGACAAGATAAGGCTGTGGCTGAGGACGTTTGGCTCCAACCACAATTAACTAAAAGGAGACTGTAGCTGCAGACTTCTTACTCCCGTGGTGAAGGCCTTCCTGGAGATAACATAGTTCTCCTAAATTAACATAACGTATCACTTGGAGAAGTCCTTAGAGAGAATCCCACGTCCTGCCCAGATTCCTGCATTTTCTTCAGTATTCCCCTCCTTTGTTTGAAAACCTAATAGATACAGTCTTCCTAGAGAAGTTCTGGTCTTAAAACCCCAGAATCTCCAATTCTGTGAGAGGCTTTGGAACCTCCCAGAGCCCTGTAATCATTTCATCTGTCTCACTTATTTAAGCCTTCGCCGTCTACTTGTTTGGGAGATAGTAGGCCTGATTGGTCCACAGTAACTAGGGGAAAACATTAACGTGATAACATTTAAGGTTATGACATTTATGACAGTTAAATAGATTTTAATTAAATTTTTATTAGACATTTTTATGTTTCTGTCCTGTAACTTACTATGAAAATCAGAATATAGTAGAAAATATATACCCCTATAGTATATAAAATATTTAAACAAAATTATGCAATTACTTCAAATCATAATTTATGTCTTTATCTCAGTGATCAGTAAGTAGATAACCTCTCGCTTTCTTTTTCTGATGTGAGAAAAGCAACTAAGTAGCATCAGCTTGCAAAGAGTGGACTTCGTTATTTTACCTGGAATCTTGCAAACTAAACTGAGAAATCATAAGTAAAATACATTTAAATGTTATCAACTTAGGTCTTCTAAGTTTATAGTTTTTAGAATGAAATCTAGTTGAAACTTCCACATTCAGACACTCCTTTCCTGCCAATAAATTTACAAACTAATTTTTTTTCATGTATGATCTGTTTTAGGGGTAGATTTTTATATCCATATAGCAAACTTTAATCATCCCCCCTCTTATTATCCCACATTCCCTACCTTCTTCCTTGGTGCCAATTAGTTCTTCTTCTCTCTTTTTTTTGAAGCAGAGTCTCATAACCTAGACTGTCCTTGAACTCATGGCGGTCCTCCTGCCTCAGCCCACTGTACTGGGACTACAGATGTGCAGTACCACACCTGGCTTACAATAAGTTCTTTTTAACCCAATTTTCTTTCTTTCTTTCTTTCTTTCTTTCTTTCTTTCTTTCTTTCTTTCTTTCTTTCTTTCTTTCACTTTGCATGTGTGCATTTACTTGTGGAAAATGTAGGCAAATTTACCCACTGCATCATCTTTCCTATAATGGTACTGGGAGAAATGCTGTCAGTATGCTAGCATATACCTTGTAGTTGATCATTAATAGCTCTTTTTTTTTCCTTTGGCATGATATATTTCAGTGCATGCCAAACAATTTTTTCTTTTCAAGCCAACTCCAAATCCCAAAGTCTTGGACACAGTTTATAATTATCTTTTTGTTCTGTTGACAGAAAATTTTGAAATATATAGACAAATATGCTAGAATATTTTAGTGAAGATGCAGATAATAAATTTCCAGATAAGGTTTTGAAAAACGCACTTGTAGATAAATTCACAAGTTTTATGAAAATTGTTTTCTCTTAAATTAATATGATGCTGGACATAGTGGTGCACAACTGTAATCCCAGCACTCGAGAGGCTGAGGCAGGAAGATTGTTGCAGGTTCGAGACCAGCCTGGGCTACAAAGTGAGCTCAAGGCCACTCTGAACAGCACAGTGAGACCCCGTCTCAAAATCAAAAAGTATGATTTAGGGGCTGGGGATGTGGCTCGGCAGTAGAGTTTTTGCCTTGCACGCACAAGGCCCTGGGTTCAATCCCCAGCACACAGTCCCAAAATTAAATAAAATTATGTGATTTTATATAAATTGTCTTAAAATTGTAGTTATTGACTTTTTATAAGAAAGTACAACAAAAACACCAACCAACCATGATTTTCAAGGTCCATATTTAAAGCTATTAACTATTCCACTTTGAATCCTTTATTTAGTATTTATTTGAAATTATGTGCCACTGTGTACATTCTTTAACATATAGTCGCTTACAAAAGCTCTTTCTATGCATAAAGAGTACTGTGTGAATAATTTCTAGATTGCTCTTGGTAGAAAGTTGTCATTAAATACTTTATATTAATACACTATCAAATAACATAAAATTTAATTACTTGTTTTTGCTACATGTAACAGAGAGAGATTTCAATAACTGAATAGTTTGGAACAATATTGTGATTTGCTTATACCAATAATTATACAATGAATGAGAAATACAAAACATTTCCGTTATCCTCAGGTATACCACTCTCTGTTAAAGTAAACTGGAAACCTGCCCCAAGCATTTCAGCTCTGTAGCCTTTCTGATCGAACAGTACCATGTTTGAGCTCAGAGTCTAAGGGCACTTTTGCCATGTTTGCTTGGATTTTCCGAAGGGCCTCAGTTCCTAATTCCACCCTGCTATTGTGTGGATCAAATAATCCCTGGTCACAAAAATACTCCGGGGAGTGACTCCCTTGGCGTCCAGGTTATGAGTGTGGTCAGTCATTCCACATGCCTTAGGGATGAGCTATCTTTGCTATGATAAGAAATTTCCTTTTCAAGTTTTGTTATCCCCCACTACAAATTTACAATCATAAATAAAAGCCAGCATAACAAAGAAAATGTATATGGAAATTTTAACATAGCACTGAAGTCAGGTGCCTTTCGTCTTGCCTTTGAAAAAATGGTTGCTGATCTAAAACAGAATAAAGTTTACAAATATTGCTAGAATTGCAAATATCTCCTATACTGACTTTTTCAGTATGAACCATAGTAAGATATTTTAAATGGTGCTTTTTGCCACGTACACATTAGATTTGCAGTTTTATGCTTTTGTGTGGTTCATTGTATTATGAAACAACTGAGGAAAAAAATAAAGATGATTCTGTAAGCCTTTTTCCAATCTCTCGTTATGCTTTGGACAGTGAAATTAAAATTTTTAGGCAATGTAAGTCATTTTATGATAGCGGCTTTCAGAGGTGTAGGTTGCAGAGTGTGCCTACGTCCCTGGCTCTGTGCAAATCGGGGCCTCAGACACTTCCCAGATTCTCGGCGCTCTCTGAGATCCGGTCCTCGGCGACCTGCAGACCAAAGGGACCGGCTGGGCTTGGAAACACCGACTGGTGGGGTTCCGGGGAGGGGACAGGCTCCTCACGGAGAAGGGAGTCAGAGAGCTGCTCGCCCACCTCTTTCTTTCCATCCTTTGCTCCTAGGGTTTTACAAGCGTGGGTCAGACAAACAGGCGCGTTATTTCCAGCCATTCTACCCGGTAACCGGATCTGGGCAGCAAAATCAACTCGCAAAAGCGTCCAGAGACTGCAGCCAGACCGCCGCCCTGGAGTAAAGGTAACTTCTCCGCGAGGCTGCAAGAGCTGCCGCGGTGCAGATTTCAGTTCCTGGCTAAGCACAGCTGCAACACCGCATCCCCGACTCCCCCAAAAGCGCGCGAGGAGGAAGCTGGGAGGATGAGGAGAATGCAGCCGGCTTGTGCTCCTGACCCCTCTGCAAAGCCCTGCAGCTTTGGGAGGCAGAGGGCCCCGAGCCAGGATTCCTGGGAAGGGGCAGGGGGGCCCGGCCACCCCACCCCGACAGCTGTCCAGCCCCTGTAATTCATTGGCTTCCCCCACCCCGCCTTCAAATGCCACCCCAATCCAGTTTGACCCCCCCGCCCCACCCTCGCTGACCTAATAAGGCCATGCAGTGGTCGGGGGACCTAGTTAAAAGGCTGGGGCTCAAGTGGACACTGCAGGACTCCAGGGAGGGAAGGCAGGAGCCGTGCAGCGGGAAAGAGCGCCATGGCCAAGGAGTGGGGCTACGCCAGCCACAATGGTGAGTGCGGCATCCGCGCCGTCCAGGGCACTGCACAGAAAGTAGGTGACTCCGGGAGTGCGCGGAAAACGCGGGCGCGGAGGGAGGTGAGACCTAACATTAACTGTGTACTTTCCAAGTCCAAATGCTCCTGGTCCTTTTGTCTTAATACCATTTCCTTCTCCCTCCTGTGGAGTTATGATGTTACCCTTGGAGCAAGCTGAAGCGCAGGCAAGTTTTGCCCAGGATCACGTTGCCTGTGACTGCGAAGTCAGACAACCTGAGGTCCAGGCTGGTGGTCCTTTACTCTGGGATGCTAGGCAAAGCACCCTTTCCCTCTCCGAGTCTGGTGTTGGTGTAAGACTCTATTCTGCCTGCCCCTCTGCCGAGGCTACGTGGAAAGGAATACCTGTGTGCTCTAAAAGCCACAATGTGATGAAAAGTGGTAAACAAATGAAGGCCATTTGAAAAATAAGCCTTTCAAGCTATATTCCAGAGCCAGCAGGGGAAATACATGGAATTCAATACAAGTACTACATCACCAACAAAAAAGGTCTTAAATGCTAAGTATTGTGCTGCCCAACCTGAAACTGAGACCTTTTTAAAAATCATGCTCTGTGTATTTTGCTGGCTGTTCATGAGAGATTGGCCTTGGGTTATACCACCAAATAAATCAGTTCCCTCAACTTCATTTTTTAGGTCCTGACCACTGGCATGAACTTTACCCAATTGCCAAGGGGGACAATCAGTCACCCATTGAGCTGCACACTAAAGACATCAGGTACGACCCTTCTCTGAAGCCATGGTCAGCATCTTATGACCCTGGCTCTGCCAAGACCATCCTGAACAATGGGAAGACCTGCAGAGTTGTGTTTGATGACACGTATGACAGGTCAAGTAAGTATAATACTTAGGGAGAGGCATATAGGTATTTTCAGTGTCTGTATAGGCAATGTGTGATTCCAGACACAGTAACAGAATTATTGGGAAGAGGAAGCATTTCCTCCCCCAAAATAGAGATGACATTCTTCTTTGTTGTAGATGAGAAAAAAACCATATCTGTGTATTGAAGAGGAATGTCTCACCCTCTAGCTTTGGTCTCTTTGTTGCCACAAAATGGTCTGATGCCAAGACCAAAAGCTAATAATACATTCCTGAAATGGGGCTTGTGGGATGGTGATGGCCATGAATCCAAGTTCTGATGGCCAGTAGCTAAGGACTCTTGTGCTCCCTGACCACAGTCTGGAGAGGGAAACTCCCACTCTCAAGTATGACACAGGTTCCATTCTACAAAGCAAGAAGTAGAGCAAGCAAACAAAATAGGCGCTATCTTCTCCTTGGGCCTGGAAGGAGGCCAATCCAAGGGCTAGAATAGGGCCATTGTATGGGTCCAGATGATTTGATTTCTTGCATCTCTGGGGTTCATCTGACTAATCCTTTTGGTGAGTGTTTTGGAAGTATCTGCCACTTCTTCTGCAGTATTTATGTGCATGAGACTGGAAAAATCAAGTTTTTTAAAGAAATTAATCTACACTAGTAAGTAACCTACACTAGTAAGTAAATAGGTGAAAATTTAAAAGGCTGATTAGAAATGCTTTACTTCACTGTAAATGAGGTAAGAAAAAAAAAATCATCCTCTGAAGGTCTAATGCTTGCTGTGCAATACTACAACTTCCTATTACCTTGTTTTGAATGGAGTTAAAATTATCCTTATTAATATACATAAATGGATAGTCTTAACTATGCTGTAGTAAAGAATGAGAGTCATAACTCCTACCAACAGGAAGATTCCAAGGAAGGGCCATAATATAATGCTACATTTTCTAAGCAGTGGTTTTACACTGCTATCCTCTTTCCAACCATTTACATCAAGCTCCATTTGAAGGAGAAAGGACAAAATTAATCAGTATTATTAAGCTAACCACATGAAAATGCCATTTTTGTAATGAAAATGGTTGATTATTGGTAAGTTTTTATAGTTTATTCTAACAGATCAGACTCAGATGTCCATATACTATTTCAAATGATTGGACAGGAAAAATATGACAAACCACTTAATTCCTCCATGACCAAACTCATAGAGGCCTAGCATTATTGCTTTAGAAATACACTATAGCTTTCCCATGCTACTTCTCAGGGTAGACAATCCTTTCCGAAATAGCTACCTTGAATTCTATTTTGCTCATATTGTTAAATCTTGATTTTAGGGTTTCTGCAAAGTTTCCAATATCCTTTTGAAGATATTTAAACCTCTAAATTACTACTCAGTCTAAATAAATTGAATTCAAGTTAAGTGACAAATTAAAAGAGTTATATACCAAATTATTGGTATTGAGATTTGCAATCCATAGTGATTGATTTCCTGGGAACTTTTCAATTTCTATTTCCTCTGATTTGAATAGGCACAGTCTAAATTAGATGTAGATCAAAACTCTTGCTTGTCATCCTAAAGAAAAAAAAAGCTATAGTTGAAAGGCCAGACACAGCAAGGAGTTCATGCTTGTACAGTGCTTGCTGTGCAGACACTAGGATGGGCACCTCTGAGGTGCTTAATCTCAGTTAATCCTCACAGCAGCTCTGCAAGTGAGGAATTATTATCACCTTCTTAGAGATGCAAAGACATTCAGAGAAGCGTAGCAACTTGCCTAAGATCACACATCTATGGAGAGGTAGAGCCAGGATTGGAACCTAAGAACCGCCTTCCTTTTCATAGTTTGGCTCTTCCAGCTGCACCATACTACTGACCCATTGTTCGGATGTATGCATCCTCACTGTCCACTTTCATAAGTGTTAAAATTACATTTCAATAGTAACAAAGCAAGCCAATGCAATAAAAAAGACAAAACTCGTTTATTTTTATATAACCTAAGTCTTCACTTTTGGAAGAGCCTGGTGTGCTCAGGGATGGCTCCACCTTCCTCGCAGACTATCTATATAACCTTTGCCGTCAAAAGCACCTGTTTCAAGTAGCATAGATCTCTGTAAAGGGAGGGTGAATTCACCAACCTTGCTTATCTGAATCACAGTGCTGAGAGGTGGTCCTCTTTCTGGACCCTACCGACTGCGCCAGTTTCATCTTCACTGGGGCTCCTCCGACGATCACGGCTCTGAGCACACGGTGGACGGAGTGAAGTATGCAGCGGAGGTAGGAGGAACTGTTGTCATCCATTCTGCATCTCCCACAGTGAAAACTGAAAAATTAAAAATAACAGCCTCAGCAAGAAAACATCATCCTGCAAGCAATGTAGTTGTGCAGGGAACTGTAGTAGTTTTAGCATACACTGGGGCTTACTAGGTTAGACAGTAAAGGGTGGGTTGGTGGGACAGCATCAGTTATGAGGACTTCTAAGGTTATATAAAAAATTGGACAGTTGCTTAAAAGAATAAGGGCCAGGGTCCTGCATGGAACCAAAACAGTAAGGATAGCTCAAACGTGCATCCATCCTACGTGTGTTATCTCATCCGATACTCTCAGCAACCTGATGTAATAGGCTACAGATGAGGCAACTGAGGCCTCATCTGAGAAAAGACACATGGCAAAGGCACAGAGCTGATAAGTACTAGTCCTGGTACTGTTGGCTTCAGAGTGCATCATCTAAATTGTGCCACATGCAATCTTTTATAAGAATATAGTGTTTTTAAAATAGCATTTAGTGATTCTGACCAATGTTCACGTACTAATGTTAAGAGAAAACACATATAGATTGAAACAGGTACACAAAATTTTATAGGAACAGATACTGTTCTCTGTTCCAGTTAACTCATTAAAGCAAAGCATAATATATAGTTCAAATCAAAGCATCAAGTATAAAGGGAGGAAGATAGGCCCCCTACCTCTTCTCTTTAGAAAGCCAAGCTACTTCTCTCTTTTCCAAGCCCAGGTTTTGTCAACAAAACTGAGGCAGGGACTAGAGGCACACAGAAACATTGCCCTACATGAAATCATTGGGCAGTATGACTGCTGGTTAAATAAAACCCTAGGACACCCAAAGTATTTCATTGTGATCATTCCATTTCTCTACAGCCAATCCAGAGAGCTAGTGGCAAGATAACTCGAGAATACCTTCTTTGCACACACCTTCCTCCACAATGGAAAATGGAAAAAAATTTGGATATTTCTTACAGATACAGGAAAGGCTTTGACTCTGAACATTTGCAATCCATAGTGACTGATTTCCTGGGAAATTTTCAATTTCTATTGCATGAAATTATCTCACTTTTGATCTTAAATAAAATATTTTCAACTGCCACAAACTATTGTATTCTCTTTCCACTCTCTGTAACTCAATATGGGAAACCTGATTAGCTTAATGGTGCCCATGTTCTAAATTAAGATAGGCTTGCTGCCAGGTTCAAAAGCCTGGCTGAAGAGAGATAGATAGTTTCATATGCTTTTTATTTGAACCATTAAAAATTCCACTAAAGTACTGCAAAATAATATTTAGCGTTTTGTCATTTTGTATGGTAGCATTAAGCAACAACCTTTAGCACATTTTTGAGCCTGTTGCGAATAATTTTATACTCGCTTCTTATGCGAGGGTTTTGCCTCTTAACCTATATTTTATGGTTTCAGCTTCATCTGGTGCACTGGAATCCAAAGTATAACACTTTTGGGGAAGCTCTGAAGCAACCTGACGGAATTGCTGTGGTTGGCGTTTTTCTGAAGGTAAAGTTAAAACTGAACCCCCCACACTCAAAACTTAGTTGCTTAAAATGCTGAGGCTAATACAAGTCTTAGTCCTCTCTTGCTTGAATTGTGTGTATGTGTTTCCCTTCTTCTACGTATGTGTTATTATTCATTCAATGGATCAAGACATTTTTGCTAAAATCAGTCCAAAAGTGCTCCTCTTGCCCTGCTCCAGAACCCCTGGCACATCTAAATTTTCTCTCAGAATGTGTGCGCATACAGGGAATTGGGGACAGAGAATTCAAGGGAGGTTGTTACGATGGTGATAAGGGTGAGGCTGGCATGTGCTCATTAAGCTTTCCCACGACTCCGTTTCAATTGCACTAGAAAACCAGAAGAGCTGATGCTGGGAACTGCTGGGATACCAAGTGCCTGGCTGGACATTCCCTCTGCTTAAAGTGGCCACCACCCACATGATCCCAGGCTAAGATAGCACATGGAATGTGTGTGTTGTTCAGCCAGCCTTGGTTTAAAGAGGACTTAGTGTCATTAACACATGAATTTGGTGGTAACATGATCTAGACTTTAAGCCAGAGGTGAAAATCTAGCTTCTTTCTTTTTGAATGACCTAATTCGTCTTATGTTCTGAATTCATTGGATCATTTTCAGTTGCGTGAAAACCACACAGCAGAAGGGGAAGTGGATTTGAGGGGAAAGACAACGAATTCAGTTTTAGACAGATGCAGCCTACTCCAGCTCTAACTGTATGACTTTGCAGAGGTCAAGGACATTGAACTGGATCAGCATGTAATTTTGTGGTTTTGTACTTCAGAGGCCTGGAGTCCAAGTTTAGATCAGAAAACATGTACTCTAAAATCTTGGGGGAAAATAAAATTATGTTTTTCCTGGGTAAAAGATATTCTGGCAGACTTATGAACACTAGTTGCATGTTGATGACTCAAAATCAGTTTTAAGATGATTTTAAATTATGGGGAAAGGAAAAATATCATGTAGGATTTCTATTTTTCTTACAGATAGGACGGGAGAAAGGCGAGTTCCAACTTCTCCTGGATGCATTGGACAAAGTTAAGACAAAGGTAAAAGAAAGTAATTTTGGCTCTTAAAATATCAAGCAGAGAACATTAATTTTCTTTTTTGCATTATCAAACATTGTACATTTCCTACCTACACTCTGTTACTAAGTTTGATAGATATGCTAAACATATATAGCATTTATTTATATACATATGAATCATTTTTAGATATAAATATAAATAAATGACATTATATTTTTATTTCATAGTTTTGAAGCAATTTCACATGGACTGGTTTGTGTCATTGCCTTCTCTCAGATAGACTTTCTCAAGTCCGTGAGAATCAGAGAGGTTGAATCTCTCAACTCAAAGATTGGAGAAGTCACCTCTTTCTCTCCTCTCCCCACCTACCCAGATGCAGTCTCATGGAGGTTCTAAATGTCAGACAAAACTGGCATTTTAAATCCTGCTGTGACCCTTTCCAGCCACACCTGTTATCTGTTTTAAATCTTCAAAGTTGACTCTTCCAATTAGTGGACACATTTTAGTTGCCTTTAGACTATCCTAAGTAATTACTATTAACTTTTACCACTAGAAAAAGTAGTTATTCTAATACAACAGTCAGGGGCTGGGGATTTAGCTCAGCGGCACAGCGCCTGCCTAGCAAGCGCAAGGTCCTGAGTTCGATTCCCGATCCCAGAAAAAACAAACAAACAAATTAATACAACATTCAGTAAGAATGCAAGCCCTTTTTAAAATCATCAAGAACCAAGCATTAACTTATATCAAGTACTTTTGTTACATTTTAGATAGAGGGTGAGTTTTCCCTCATGAAAAAATGGTAGAATTATAGTTCTACCCATAATTAAAATGGTAAGAAAAAAAAACATGGCAATACTGTGCCAGATAAAGTTATAATATGCAGCCAACTTCCGGTTTAACTTTGATTTCTGAAAGGCCTGAGCCTTGTTAGAAAGCTCTGTTGCCTCTGTTCCGTGTGAAATCTGTTCTCACAAGTAAAGTGATGAGTCCTTCCCGGTGCGCGGCAGGCTTGTCCCACGTATGGTGCTGTCTTCTAGGGCAAGGAGGCGCCCTTCACACACTTCGACCCTTCCTGCCTGTTCCCTGCCTGCCGCGACTACTGGACCTACCACGGCTCCTTTACCACCCCTCCGTGCGACGAGTGCATCGTGTGGCTGCTGCTGAAAGAGCCCATGACCGTGAGCTCCGACCAGGTGAGCAGCAGCCCCGGGAGCACACAGGTTTACATGGCTGGCTGGCTAGAAAAGATAGAAAAACTGAAAATCCACAGCTACTAAATGGGTGTTTGTCCAACAGCTCCTCCTGGAGATCTCAGCATCTGCTCTGGTTACCTGAAATCCACTCAATCTGTTTTCAAAATTCTGGTTTCCTGAGGACACCAGGATGAACGCAAATTGTTGAAAAGTGGTCATGATAGCGAGCAATGACTGAGTGTAAGCTACACTTAAAGGTTTAGGTTAACGGGGCCGACTCTTTGTTCCTTTGGACACCCTTGAGATAGTGCGCACCGGTTAGGAGGGGAGGCGGCAAGTCAGACCCAGGAAGGAGAAGGGAAGTGGAAGAATCTAACATGCTTGTGAAGAGTATTTTACTTTCCCAGTTTTAGAGATAAACAAGGTGCAGCTTAGAAAATAAAAATAACTTACCCAATGCACACAGTGCCAAGTGCAAGATCCCAATCCCACTTCAGTCTGTTTTCCGTAGTTCATGGTCTCCCCTCCTCCTGGTCATTGAAAGATTGTCAGCAACACAGTTTTCAAGAAAAGCTCTTTGAGGGAAAAATGAGTAAGCAGGGACATGAAAAAGACCATATTTAAGCAAGTAAATAACACGGACTCATAACCTAGAACAGGAATGTCTCATACTAAAATCAGTTCACCACTGTCTCCCTTGCTTAAGACAGCGGCTGTCCTGTTTCTAACAGCCTAGACTCAAGAATACAAATTGACATTTTTATCAAAGAATCAGGTCTAATGGTCTTAATCATTGATATAAATATTTTGAAAAACGAATGAAATTTTCTCAAGGAGAAAAGCTAGAAACAGTTTACTGCACTATAATATTCTTATATGAATTTCTTGTCCTTTAAAATAAAAAATCAGTAAAAAAATCAGTTTAAAATTTAAAATACAGCACAGCATATCTTCCTCCTCTCTTAAAATTGGCTCCATAAACATAACGAAGGCCAATTATCTGTCTCTGCACGGTGTGTACTTCATACCCAGCCCCCCAAATTAAAGTAATTGTTTCAGAATTCAGGAAAAAAAGGGTTTGACCAGAGAGAGCATAGCATAGTGATCCATGAAATGGCAAGAGACCTTTCGCAAGTTTAAATATATATATATACACATATATATATATGTATATATATTCCTCAAGAAGTGGTAGCTGAGCAGCTCTGGACTGAGCACTGGAGACCGGTTTTGCGGTGTAGTTTCCTCGTGCTGTTTGGAAAGCCCGTGATTTCTGACCCTCGGTCGCACTGTGCGTCCACCCGCCGCGAGCACTTTGCTAACCTGCCGCCCTGTCCCCTGCAGGTGGCCAAGCTGCGCACCATCTTTGCCAGCGCCGAGAACGAGCCCCCGGTGCCCCTGGTGGAGAACTGGCGCCCTCCGCAGCCTCTCAAGGGCAGGGTGGTGAGAGCCTCCTTCAAATGAGGCCGCAGGATCTTGCCCTGTTCAGGAAAGGAAACTTGCCACCGTCCGAGCGGTTCCCCGCCGCCCTCTGGTGCTCCTTCCTCCAAGTCTATTCATCTTTCCACACCCTGCGAGGAATGTGAGTGACGCAGTGGCCAAGAAACCAGCTCCTTGTGACCAGATGTAACAGCAAACCATGAATTTCACACCTGACCTTTGTAATAGTCATCTTTTCTATAAAAGTAGTATGTCTAGTGAGCTTTCAGAGGAGCAGAAATGAGACAGAAGAGTGAAAATACAGGAAAATGACCACTGAACACCAGTTTTCTGTCATCTTAAATTCACAGAACCGCAGGTCTTCTACGTTTGTATTATGAATTGTCCACCTTACAGAAAAACGAATGATTTCATCTGTAGTAGAGGTGATGTTTCTCTGATAAGCAAGAAATTAAAATGATTGTGGTCACAGAATTAAAATGATAATGTTCTACCTCTTAACACCAGGAGGTCCATTATCTATTAAAAGTTAGCTCTGACTAAGGTTACCTGGTTTTGGTTATTGATGAAAGGAAAACACAGTAAGACGAAGAGTTTGGAAGTGTTTGACCCAGTATTTGAATTTCTTCTTCATAAAGATGGTTTTCTTTACCTGAAGCAGGGCCATTTATTTTTTATTAAACTACTTTTCTCTTTGCATGCCTATTAAAATAAAAAACTGTCTCTGCTGTCTTTCGAATTCGAGGCTGGAATTAACGGTTCCTAGAACACAGGGAAGTGCTCGGTGGCACTTGAAGTCAAAGTAGCTATGTTGACGAATCACCAAATAAAGACATGGATGCAAAAAACTGGGCCTTGCGTTTTTGAATGAAAAAGCATCATGAAAGACACAAATGGACCAAAATTATGATTGACAACTTTGTAAGGTTTTTTTTTTTTTTTTAATAAATGAAGGGTAGGGATAAAAGATGCCAGTTCTGAGTCTGTATGCTATATTCCTCAAGGCAGTTAGTGAGGGCCGCCAGACAAAACTGCAGACCAAAGGGATACGTGCCTATATCTGAGAGTGCAAAATAGTTGCCAGACATCTCTAAGCTGGTTAGGATTCTGGAGTTCAGCCCAGGGCAGGGGTGTGGAATCAGGTGAGACTGCATTTTTATGTCAGTTCTTAAAGCTGTGTTTTGGGGTCACACTGGCCTAACACTACCAAGCTCTCTATATTTGGACCTTTAAAACAGTTAATATCTTTAGACATAAAGTCTAAGTTTGCAGTTAGTGGCTTTGATCGTCTTTTAGTGCTTCACTGGCTAATATGTTGACTACCTTAGAAAAGTTTATTAGTGTAAGGAGTAAAATGGGATGGGGTCAGAGGGCCCTGAGATGCTGGAAGTCAAGTCATGTGATGGACTCCTGTGAGGCTAAAGTGATTTAATAAATTGCCACTTGGGTGAAGTAAAACCAGGTTGGTCAGTGTGAAGTGGCTGTGTTAATTAAATCCCTTGAAATTAAGAGGTGTGGAGCTTTGATCATTAGTGGTAATACACAGCTGCTTCCCTGAGTACTTAGCATTGCTCAGTGCACTGTAAAAAATGTACACAGCACTCACTCTCTGTGAGGCAAGAACAGATGACCTCATGTCAGTTACAAGTATTTCTTACTCACGGACACAGGCAGGGCGGGCTGGAGTTGTTTGAAGGGAAGATACTGGATCAGAGGAGGCTGTGTCCCTCGACTGTAAACCCTCTGACGGCAAGAATCTGAGTCTTGCACACCGACACTCATTTTATTCCCTCATACTGTGTCCGACACACCATAGCACTCGGTCAGTATTTGGTGGGTAACGATGTCATAAACAGAGGGGGGATATGGGACCAATAATCAGGTTCTCCAACCACAACTTACTCTACATCTCTGCCTTTTGCTCATCTTCGTGAATTTTGATCTCCTTGGAAGCGATCTCATTAGCTTTGGGTGGGAGTTTTTTCCAGTAGAACATATTTTTCCCCAGCCTGCCTGTGTCTATAAGTACCATCCAACTTGAAAAACTTCCTCTCAATTTCTCCCACCCCTCAAAATGCTGCCCCATAAGAGATGCCCACTGGAATGCTGAAGACATACTTGTGTCCCTATTTTGAGGGGGGATCATTCTCCCGCTCAGGCACAGGCATTCAAGCAGTTGCACTTAAGGCATCCACAGCCTTCGAAGGCCAAGGCCAGGCGCTGCTGTGCTGAAGGTGTCCCAGCATTTGCCAGCGTTTGTTTCTCGGGGTACAGGCTATGATCATTGCTAGAATCTAAACATTTCAAAGTAGGGCAGAAACAAATCAGGATGCAGTGTTTCATGATATTTAGATGATCATATACTGAAAGTCTACAAATGGGGCAGGAATTTATTGATTACAAGTTACAGCTTCATTTTGAGGGCAGAAATGTGTTATAATCCCTGCCACTTTAAGTGGAAATGATGATATATTTATGAAAAGGCAAATAATGATTCAGGACCTTTGATGAAAAATTTTTAAAATGTACCATCCGTGAAATTTTATGCAGATGGATGGGAAGTAGTCTACAAAGAACATGCAAAAACTAAGTTTTTAATGTCTGTAACCATTTATATAACTAAATAAATATAGTTGAGATTGATCAACTGTAAAGAAGTTTGCATACATGTGAAAAATTAATGTTAATTATCCTAATGAGAATTAACACAAATAAAACTGGTGTAAAATAAATACATGTGATACAAAAACGCACAGCTACTGAAGATGAGTCACCACAGCGCCCACCAAGAAGGTGTATACGCACTTCAGCAGTTTGCTGTGGACATGAACATGGTATTTAGCAAAGGAAGAATAGATGAGAAAAATGATACTGTGGGTGTCAGACTTTAAAATTAATTTTGAACAAGCTACTCATAAGGTAGTACAGTAAGTGCTAAACCCGAATGAGAAGTCACAAACACGTTTGCAAGTTATTTTTCATTTTGGTCACTAGATGGCAGCAAGACATTTTAAAATTCTAAATGTGTCACTAGGTGGCAGCAAAATAATTACAACGATGAAATTAAAAAGCATGCTGCTTATTCATGGTAGTTTCAGGGCAAGGCATTTAAAAAAAAAACTTTTTGAACTGATACCCTGTTTTCTCCTCTCCAATATTTTACTGTTAGCCATTAAACTATATCTACAAAAAAATATTGAATTCTTACATATTTTTGAGAATCTTAATAACCAAAAATGAAGCCTGAAGGGCAAAAGCATAGAGGGTATTAAAATAAAATTTAAATGAGTGCAAAGTGAACTTTTAAAAGTCCTGTTCAGTATTGAGAAGCACTGGGCAGGAGCCACACAGCCCTTGGTGAATGTGAGGTCTCAGGCACATTAATTCTTAGGAGCCTGACTCCTCATCTGGAAACAGGAATGATAGTAGTGCCTGCTTGGAGGGTTATTTTGAGAATTAAATGAGCTAATACTTATAAGCCATTTATGCCAGTCATTCTAACATATAATTCTCAATAGGAATTAACTTTTATTGTTTGTAAATTAATTTTACTTAAACCCAGAAAAATTATAATGCCTTATTTCCATACCTAAAATTTTTTCTTTATATACTTATTTGTGACCTCATTTATCTATGCCTCATCTATTCAGATTGTATTAAAAGAGTTACTCTAATGAACTCACTTCTACTTGTTCCTGGGTGACAACAATATTTAGTGATAGTGATGACAAATCTTGTCCTATATATGTAGCAAGAAAATTAAGAGGTGGCCACATGGAACCAGCACGATGCTAGAAGAGGTGACCTGGAAGACCAGAGATATGTTGCTGAGGAAGCTTCTGTCCCAGGATCTCTGCACCTTACCTGAGGAAGCGTTCAATTAGAAAACACCCAGAAAAGAAACCTAAAAGAAGAGGTGGGAGAACCGTAGCATTCATTTTGTGCAGTGTGGACTTCAGTTGTGGAGGGAACAAAGTCCCTGGGGGTGTTGCATAAAGTGGAAAGTCTATCTCAATAAGTAAGTACAAAAAGTCTCCTGCCATTAAATTAATTTTCAGCATGCCTGGGCATGTCATAAAATCAGAAAGCTGAATAAAGTGCACAAATCCCATCTGGGAGAAGGGTTTATATTTTCGGGGTTATTCAATTCCAATAGGACCAAAGGAATAAGACAGCCGAGATATAAAATCTATGATTAAGGGGTAGAAGGGTAAGGAACTGCCGTTCGTGTGAAGGCGCTCAGTAGATGCAGCCACCTGACACTCGACCAGGTAGATAATCACAGGTAATCAGCAGGGGTGAGAGCGAGGCTAACGCTGCAGTCACAGGGGACCAGGTGCGCTGCAGCAGCATAAAACCCAGTGATTTAAAAGCTAATTTTAGCCAAGTGAGAATCGACTCTGCAGTAAACAGGAATTCGGATTCTCTCTTGTATTTAAATTACTCCCAGGTAGAGGAGCCTGAAACATCAGGGAGACTATTTGGATCATTAAATGGACATTGTCCCTGTTTCAACTTGCCCATAAATTTCTATCACACTCACACAACTCATTTGAAATGTGGATGGTTCCAAACACATTTGTTCCAGAGCAGGCATTCCCTAAAGGGCATCGACTCCCATGAAAGTTAATACAAAGGAAAGTGTTTGAAAATACGTGGCTCACGGTATTCTCTTCCCCACTGTGTACTGATCAGTTTAGACGAAAACCTCAGGCCACGAAAGGGAGCTGAATATGTCAAGCCTCCAAAAGGGGCTTGCCATGCCTGGGGCTGTGTGCAAGCTGGGCAGAGCAGATGTAAAAAGTGAAAGGCTACAGTTGGGTGAATATATGAACTTGGGTTCTTCCTCTGGGCACTACTCTAGGAGTCATAAGAATAATTTAAGATTTATGAAAAGTGTGTGTGCACGTGTGTGTGTGTGTTGGGGGAGGGGTTGAGAGCATACAATTTGCAGTGGATAAACTTTGGTTTTCCTTCCCATTTCTGCTACTCATCTCTAACCGTAGAAGACTGATTTTAAGGTCTCTAAATCTTTCTTCATTTGTACAGTGAAAAATTAAGTAAAACAGGTTATGAATAAAGCATGGTGTGTGAAACATGAGAACCTTATTTAAAACTAGCCCTCTCAAAATTTTGTTTGTTTCTGTTTGGTTTAATGATGGTGTATGCGTGTGTGTGTGTGTGTGTGTGTGTGTGTGTGTGTGTAAGACAGACAGAGACAGAAAGAGACAGAGACAGAGAGACAGAGAGATATGAATTGTAGGGGCAGTAAAGTTTTGTTTTTATTTTTTATTTACATGTTTGCATTTCATTACTACATTCCTTATGGGCAGCTGATACATGCGTGTTACATGTCTTAATTCATTTTCATCCCCTTCCCTTTCAACCCCTCTCCCTCCCCAACCCCTCCCCCCCCTTGATCCCCTTCTTATTTGAGAAAGTAAATTTTTATCAAAATAAGGACTTTCTGTCTTGTTACACTGCTGAGGCCCTAAGACCTAACAGAACTGAACCTTGCCAGAAATCAAAGTATTTATTAGGTGAATGAAGGAATGGATGGGTGAATGAACGGTGAAATTAAAGTCCTAAAATATCAAACGCCAGTCTAGGTCTATGAACCGGTAGAAGCTAGGTCTTCATTCCAGGAAGGTCTGAGGCTGACATCTCAGTTTTTGGAAGAATGTGCAGAGAGCCTTTTCTGCTATCCATACTCTCTGTGTGCAGAGTACATGTGTGAAAGAAGAGAAACAGCTTTACATACATCTGAACCTTTATTGCAAATTTAAATTTTAAAACCGGACTATATAGAAGAGACATGTTTTAGGAGATATCAAACGGCTTTTTTCTC